CATGGACCAGGGCAAGAAGCTGCCCTGCGGGCACATCTTCCACTTCGGGTGCCTCCGGCTCTGGCTCCAGCAGCAGCAGTCCTGCCCGACGTGCCGCATGGACATCCCCGTGGACGACGCGCCCGCGGCGGGCGCCGCCGCGGGCGACGCGGCGGCCGCGCGGCGCGACGCCGGCGACGCGGCGCCGGCCGCGGGCGCCGCCGCGGCCGCGGCGCCGCGCGACGCGGACGCCGCGCCGCCGGCGGCGGACGACGACGACGGCGACCCCGTGGACGTCGACGAGCCCTGGGAGGACGTCGTCCGCGCGACGATGCGCCGCCTCCGCGAGGACCGCGAGGCCGCGCCCGCGGGCGCGCACGCGGCGGCCGCCGCGAACGTCGCCGTCTTCGCGCTCGCGGGCGCGGCCCGGGCGGCGCCCCGCGCGGCGCCGGCGGCGCCGACGCGCCTCCCGCCGGGCGCCGTCATCTGGACCGTGACGGGCGCCGACGGCGCGAAGATCTACGCCGCGCGCGACGCGGCCGCCGCGCCGCTCCGGGCGCTCGCGACCGGCGCGCGCGTGCTCACGGTCGCGGACCCGGCGCCCGACGCGTCGCCCCACTGGCTCAAGGTCGGCGACGGCTTCATCCACAACGACCCCGTGGTCCTCGCGCCCTACCAAGACCCCGCCGCCGCGCCGCCCGCGGAGCCCGCCGCGGCCGCCGCGGCGCCGCCGCCGAGGACGCCCGCGACGCCGCTGTCGCCCGCCGCCGCCGCCGCGGAGCGCCGCGCGCGCGCCGCGAACCCGCCGGCCCCGGCGGCCGCCGCGCCGCCCGCCGCCGACGCCGCCGCCATCGCCGAGGCGCTCGCCGCGATCCAGAAGCAGCTCGCCGCCGTCCAGCGCGACGTCGCGGCGCTCCGCGCGGACGCGGACGCGCGCCGGGCGGCCGCCTGATTGATGGGTCACGCGCGTGGTTCCCCGCCCCTTCCGCGCACTAGAACACTTATGCTCGCCAGTTACTTGCATTGGAGCTTCTTACATAGTGATTTGTAGTATCTCGGGAATTCCAGCCTGAGCCTCAAAAACGCTTCTTGTAGCTCCAGAAGCCGAGGATGTGCGCGAAGACGTCTTCGGGCAGCGGGGTGCTCGCGGCGCGCCGCCGGCTGCGAGTTCGCGCCTTGCCGGCGTTTGGGACCGGCGGTGCGCCGAAGCAGCGCACAAGTTTCGGCGGCGCCGTCGCGCGGCCGGCGAGGCACAGGTAGCGGAGGGAGAGGAGCTGGACGATGGGCTCGCGCTTGTAGCGCTTCCAGGATCCGGCCGCTTCGACGGCCTCGAGCAAGTCGATGATTTGTCGTCCTCTATAGCGTCTAGATCTATCTCTCTCAAAATCAGGCGGGCGGAAAATGCGCTGTGAAGACCGCCGGGCAAGATCGAGCGCTGTTCTATCATCGTTATCTCTATCATTGAATGCACCTCCGTGTCTGAGCAGAGCGTGCACCTCATCAACATTAAGGGAACCAGCGTTAACCATGAGCGCCGTACGGCCCGCATGATCTCTTAATTCGACGTTAGCGCCGTGCGCGACTAACAGGTCGATAATTTCCGCGTCAGCCAGGTGCAGAGGCCGGCTATCGTCACCGAGATCAGGATCCGCGCCGTGTTCGAGAAGAAACCGGACCACTTCGTGGTGGCCACATTCGGCCGCTGTCGTCAGCATGGTACCGCCATCCATACTTTGGTTCACGTCGGTGCCAGCGGCCAGCGCCACCTCGACACCTCGAAGATCTCCCTCCCAAGCCGCTTCGTAGGCAGCCTCCATGATCGACGGCGCGGCGCGCGGCGCTGAGAGGAGACGCTGACAGCGCCCGCGGCTGAGACCGGACGTCAACGGCGCCGATAGCCGAGCCGCCGCTCCTCACATGGGCAGCCCCGGCCTTGACGTCATCTTGAGACTCAAGGTGCCGCAGCTCCCGCGTGGACACGACCATTCGGCTGGAGCAGCCCCCGCGGGCGGCGGGAGGCCGGCCCATGCACCGGTTGCGGTGATGAGGAGCGCCTGCGCGCCGTCGTGACGCTCGACGCCATGGGCCAGTTCTCGAGCGTCGCCTGCCTCCTGGTCCAAGCGACGTGCTTGGGCTTCTTCGTGGGCAGCTTCCTGGACCCCGCGCTGCTGCGGCGGCCCATCTGCTGGGTCGAGCCCCACCTGGGCGAGCCGGCGGCGCGCTACGTCGCCGAGTACCGGCTGCTCCTCGACCTCCGGTGCCCCGGGCGGCCGCCGACGACGCGCGCGACCGCGGGCCGGCGGCCGCGGCGCGCGGACGACGCGCGCTGGTCGCCCGTGACGTCGAAGCGCTTCCCGAGCGCGCGCGCGAGCGCCGTCCGCGCGGGCCGGCCGCCGACGTCCGGCGCCATCTGACGCGACGCGGGGGACCATCGTAAGCCAATTCGACGACCGGCGGCTCTCTTAGTCGTCGGGCCCCGCGCGGAGCGCGTGGTGGAGCGCGACGGCGGCCTGGGCCGCGCAGTCCGCGAGCTCCGGGGGCGCGCCGGCGGGGCCGACGGTGAGCGGCGCGGCGGCGGCGGTTTCCGCGGCGGCGTCGACGCGGAGCGCGGCCGCGAGCGCCGCGTTCGACCGCGGGAGCGCGTAGACGGCGACGTGCGTCGCGGCGCCGTCGGGGACGGGCGCGCCGGCGACCCGCGGCAGGGCGACGACGACGGGCGCCGCGGCCGTCGCGGCGCCGCCGGGCGCCGGCGGCGCGCAGGCGCCGAGCGCGCCGCGCGCGGCCGCGGCGACGACGGCCCAGGCGCCGCCGGCGCCGACGGCGGCGGCGAAGGCCGCGGCGGGGTCGGCGGCGCCCGCGCCGGCGACGACGGTGCCGTCGCCGCGGAGCACGACGGCCGGCGCGACGACGGCGGGCGCGGCCGCCGCGCGGCGCGCGGCCGCGAAGAGCGGCGGCGGCGCGTTGAGCAGCGGGTAGACGTACTGCTCCTGGAACTCGCGCAGGGCCTCGGCGCGGGGGTCGTCGTCGTCGTCGTCGTCGCGCGCGCCCGCGGCGGCGGCGGGCGCGCGGTCCACGAGCCTCGACGCCGCGCGCGACACCTGGCGCGCGTGGAGCGCCGCGGCCTGGCGCGTCTCGGCGCAGTCCCGCCCGTCCGTGACGACGGCGACGGCCGTGTCGCGGCTGCCCCGCGCGATGACGACCTCGTGGTCCCGCAGCCCGAAGACGGCGACGTCGCTGGCGTCGCCGTCGCCGAGCCAGGGCGACAGGCCCGCGACGAGGCGCGCCAGCGGGAACTCCATGGGCAGCGTCGTCTGCGCGCTCGCGCTCACGAGCATCCGCCCCTCGAGGGTGCTGATGGAGCAGGCCTGGATGCCCTCCATCGTCTTTATCGAGCGGCAACTTGCATGGTTTTTTTGTTGTTGAAAAATTGGATGGCGGTGTGCGATTTTGTGTCCTCTGCGTCCAATGTTTCGGTCACGAGTCGTGAGCAGAGCCGACTGCGGCGGAGACCTCGCCAGATGCTGGGACGAGCCTGGTGACGAGTTGGTCATGGGTGCGGCGCCAACGCGTCATTTCCTCGCATGCCGCAAAAAAAAAAAAAAAAAGGCCCGGCCGCTCCCGGCCAGGATCGAGAGCCACAAGCACCTCAAGCATGAAGCTCTTCGCCGCCCTCTTCGTCACCGGCGCCGCCGCCTTCCAGGCCCCGAGCCAGTCGGCGCGCTCCCCCATCGCCCTCGAGGCCACGCGGTCCGAGGTCGCCGCTGCCATCCTCGGCGCCTCCGCCCTGTTCGCGCCTGCCGCCGCCTTTGCGGCACGTTACCGGAGTCCGGAAGCACCGCTGGCCCCCCGCCTCGCCTCGCCGCGTTGCAACCTCTCGCCCACCCCCCTGGATCATGGCTGCAACCGCGCTCCTCTCGCGCCGCGATAGAAACAATCGCTTGACAGTGTCGAACGCGCGCATCGAATCGAGTCCAAATCGCATCCGACCCGTTTTGTGTGCCGACCGCTCCACCTCCCATAGGGCGACGTCGAGTCCGGCGCGACCATCTTCGCGGGCAACTGCGCCGCGTGCCACGCGGGCGGCAACAACGTCATCGCCGCGGAGAAGACGCTCCGCAAGGAGGCGCTCGACTCGTACCTCGCGGGCGGCCGCAAGGAGTCGTCCGTCGTCACCCAGGTGACGAACGGCAAGAACGCGATGCCCGCCTTCGGCGGCCGCCTCTCCGACGAGGAGATCGGCGACGTCGCGGCCTACGTCATCGACCAGGCCAACGGCGACAAGTGGGACGAGTAGGCGCGTCGCGCGCGCAAGCCTCTGTCCAGCGCCCGGCTCTCTAAGGTCTCGCGGTGCGCCCTAATTCGGCTGTGACACGAGCCACAGACACATCGGCGCTTAGCACTCACGCGCCGGCCGGGTCGACGTGGACGAGCGCGCGGTCGAGGACGTGCGCGTGGCCCGCGGCCGCGAGGAGCTCGAGGAGCTTGACCTACGCAGAGAGATCAACACCGCGAAAGGAGACGCGCACGCACCCGCAGCGGCCGGTCGCAGCCCGCGAGGAACGCGGTCCAGACGAGCGACGCGAGTTCGAGCTCGCGCGGATCGTCCGCGTTCGCGCAGAGCAGCAGCGCGGCGACGGCGTCCGTGAGGCGCCGCTTCGCCGCGAGGCGCAGGAGCGCCACGTTGCCGTCGACCTGCGGACGACGCGATCGGCCGGCGAGTTCCTATCGACGCTCGCCTCGGCGGAAACAAGAGTCCCGACGCCGCGGGACGCGCGAAGAGCGCAAAGTCCGGCGCGTCCGTGGCGAGGCAGGCGGCGACGGCCGTCTGGAGGACGTCGTTGGCGAGGGGCGACGGCGCGTCCGCCGGGTAGAGCTCGACGAGCTCGGAGCCGTGCGCGAGCGCGAGGCGGAGGAGCGCGGCGCCGCGGCCGGCGGCGACGGCGTCGGCGTGGGTCGCCGCGCCGCGGGGCCGCGTCGTCGCCACGCCGCGCAGGAAGGGCCCGCCGAGCGCGATGGCGACGCGGAGCGCCGCGGCGTCGAGCGTGCCGAGGAGCGTCTCGCGCGCGCCGTCGCGCGCCTCCGAGGGCCGCGCGGCCTCGAGGACCTGGTGCGCGCCGACGAGGAGCGCCGCGAAGGCCGGCGCGGCGCCCTCGGTGACCAGGAGCGCCGTGAGGCCCGCGTAGCGCGTCGCGAGGAAGCTGAGCACGCGCGCGGACCGCTTCGCCGCGGTCAGGTCCACCGCGGACCTAGGAGAGCGCGCGCGTGCGAAGGTGTCGCGTTCATCTCTCGGACGCGGGCCGACGCGCGTCGCCTCGAGGTCCGCGCGCACGTTGGCGAGCGCCGCGCGCGTCGACGCGTCGATCGACCGCAGGACCGCCGCGGCGTCGAGCTTGCCGCGGAGCGCGCCGCGGTGCCTCGTGACGACGTCGTGCACGCCGCCCCAGACGGCGAGGTTCACGGGCAGCTTGTCCGGCTCCGACGCCGCGACCCGCGCGTGTTTCGCCATCTCCTGCGCCACGCCCGCCGCGTTCCCGCCGCGCGCGAGCTCCTGCTCGTAGGACGCGAAGTCCGCCTTGATCTTCGCGTGCTCTGTCATCGATTCGCGGAGCGCTGCTGCTGTTGGCTTGCAAATCGGCTGGGTTGCGCGGCTGGGGACTTGGTGCGCGCGACGGCGCCGATGGTTGTGTTTGACGGATCGATCGGCCGCGCGGCGCCGCGGCGACGACAAACACCGCGTGGCGCGTCCGGCGCCGACCGCTGGAGGCCATGTACAACCAACCCGGGGGCTACACGGGCGCGCCGTTCGGTCAGCAGGCGCCGGCGGGCCAGGGCTTCGGCCAGGCGCAGGGCTACGGCCAGGCGCAGACCTACGGCGCGCCGCAACAGCCGCAGAGCTTCCAACAGCCCCAGCCGGGCTTTCCGCAGCAGCAGAGCTTCCAGCAGCAGCCCTTTGGGCAGCAGGACTTCCAGCAGCAGCCGCAGCAGTTCCAGCAGCAGCCGGCGCCGCAGCAGTTCCAGCAGCAGGCGAGCTTCGCGGCGCAGCCGCAGCCGCAGGCGACGGGCCAGCCGTTCGGGCGGCCCGCGGCGGGCGGCGGGGCCTTCGGCGGCGGCCCGGGCGCGGGCTTCGACCAGGCGGCCGTGGCGTCGCAGGCCGTGGGCGCCGCGGCGGCCATGTTCGCGGGCGACTCGCGCGCGGCGCAGAACCTGGTCGAGGCGCAGGCCAAGGGCTTCGCGTCGGCGTGGCTGCCCGGCGTCGCGGCGTTCTGGGCGAGTCTGCGCGTCTACTTCGCCGTGAGCCACGCGTCCGTCGCCGGGAAGCTGCGGGCCGTGCTCTTCCCCTTCGCCAAGAAGCAGTGGCGGCGGAAGCGCGCCGAGGAGCTCGACGGCGGCGGCGACGCGCGCGCGGGCGCGCTCCACGGCCACGCGCTGCCGCTCGAGGACGACAACGCGCCCGACGGCTACGTGCCCCTCGTGGCCTTCGTGACCTTCGCGCTCGTCGCGGGCTACGTCCGCGGGAGCCGCGGCACGTTCACGCCCGAGGTCCTCGCGTCGATCTTCTCCTGGTGCGCGGGGCTCCAGATGCTCGAGATCGCCCTCTACTCCCTGGGGCTCTACCTGTTGGGCGCCCACAACGTGCCCGTGCTCGACGTCGCCTGCTTCACGGGCTACAAGTACGTCGCGCTGTCGATCAACGCGATCGCGCACTTCTTCGGCGGCGAGAGGGCCTACTACGCGGCCCTCTTCTGGACGGGGCTCAGCGCGTCCTACTTCATGCTCAAGACCATGGCCCAGGCCGTGCCCGCGGAGCTCGAGAGCTCCGCCGCGCGCCGCGAGATCGTCGTGCTCGTCTTCGGCGTGCTCCAGGGCCTCTCCATCTGGGTCCTGGGCCGGTCCGCCTAGGACGGGCGCGGGTTTTAATCGCGGCGGCGGGGATTTCGGCGCGATGGGTGGCTGCGCCGCTGCGCGCGGCGACGCGTCCGGACGAGGGAGCGCGAGGGGCGCGAGGCGTCGCGCGCGAGACCGCCGGCGCCCGAGCCGGAGAGCGCATGGTGCATTGACCGAGCCGAATCGTGCACGTCGAAATCGCGAATCGAATCGCTTCTGCCGCTCGAGTGCTCTACGCACCCGCCGCCGCGCACCGCAGCACTCGCGCGCCGCGCCGCGCCGCCGCGCCGCCGCGCCGAACCGAAAAGCGAAGGCCATGGGCAAGCAACCGGGCTGCGACCCGACGGCGATGAAGAACTTGCGGGAGCTGAAGGCGCTCTACGACGAGGGCGTGCTGTCGGAATCGGAGTACGCGAGCGAAAAGAGCAAGCACATGGACAAGCTCTGGCCGCGGCCGCCGCTCCCCGACGCGCCCGCGCCGAAGCGGAAGCGCGGGCCGCGGAAGAAGGCGCCGAAGAAGGACGCGACCGAGGCCGAGGCGCCGCCGCCGCCCGTCGCGGAGGCGCCCGGCGGCACGACGTCCGTCGCCTTCGACAGCGCGAAGGCGCTCGGCGTCGAGCTCGAATACGACGGCGCCGCGAAGCTCGTCCGGCTCACGCTCGCGCAGCCGGAGTCGGCGGCGCGCGACGTCGCGCCGGGCTCCGTGCTCGTGGCGATCAACGGCGAGCCCCTCGAGCTGCCGGAGGTCTGCCTCGGCGAGGACCACCTCTCGCTCGCGAGGAAGAAGGTCATCGCCGCGAAGGGCGAGGGGTCGACGGTGATCCTCGACTTCCAAGACGCGTGACTGCGTGTGTGCCCCCACGAAAGACCTAAGCTGTAGACTCGTCTCTGCGAGCGCGAGGCGGGACGTCGCGCCGCGTCGCATGCCGGATTTCCGCCAGCCAATCGCATCGACGCGTCGGGCTCGAGTGGCTCCTCCGTCTCGCGGCGCAGCACGCTCGCGGCGGCGGCGTTCGAGGCTCCGACTCCGGCGCGAGCGGTGGCGCGGGCGCGTCTCCGGCCGCCGGTCTGAAGCGCCGACCATGTTCGGCTTCGGCGGCAGCTCGAACGACCGCATCGCCATCACTTTCGACAACGAGGATGCGCGGCCCAAGAAGAAGCTGTCGAACAACGCCGTCGCGCACCCCGTCTTCGCGAACATCGAGCCCGTGACGGGTGCGCCGCGCGCGCGCGACGCGCGGCGAAGAAGCGCCGCCGGGACGCTTTCGCCGCAGGCGTCGTCGAGATCCGCGTGCCCCAGGGCAAGCGGCTCGAGCACCAGGGCATCAAGATCGAGGTCATCGGCCAGGCGCGCCGCCCGCGCCTCCTCCTCATTGATGCGTAAAACAGACCGTCCGCCGCGCGCAGATCGAGCTCTTCTACGACCGCGGCAATTTTTACGATTTTACGTGCATCCTCCGCGAGCTCGACACGCCCGGCGTGCTGTCGAGCGTCACCCAGCGCGCCCGCCGCGTCCTCGTTTCATAAGCGCCGCTCCGCAACCGCCGGCCGCCCAGGTACCCCTTCGACTTCTCCAACGCGGAGAAGCCCTACGAGTCGTACAACGGGCTCAACGTCCGACTCCGCTACTTCATCCGCGTGACCGTGACGCGCGGCTACCCCTCCGGCAACCTCGTCAAGGAGCAGGACTTCGTCGTCCAGCGCGATGGCAGCGTCCGCGGCTTCGTCGTCCCGCCGCGCCGCCGCGACGCGCGCGCGCGACACCGCCGCTCGACACCGCCGCGCCCGCGCCGCAGGGTCGCGCAGCCCGCGCCGGAGGTGAACAACACGATCAAGATGGAGGTGGGCATCGAGGAGTGCCTCCACATCGAGTTCGAGTACGACAAGACGAAGTACCACCTGAACGACATCATCATCGGCAAGGTCTACTTCCTGCTCGTCCGCATCAAGATCAAGCACATGGAGCTCGCGATCATCCGCCGCGAGGCCGCGGGCTCGGGCCCGCAGATGTACAACGACTCGGAGACGATCACCAAGTTCGAGGTCATGGACGGCGCGCCCGTGCGCGGCGAGTGCATCCCCATCCGCCTCTTCCTCTCGAACTTCGTCCGCGCACGCCGCGTCCGCCTCGTTTTTTGTTTCTTTTGTCACGGTCTTATTATTGCGCAGAACCTCACGCCGACGTACCGCAACATCAACAACAAGTTTAACGTGCGGTATTACCTCAACCTCGTCCTCGTCGACCAGGAGGAGCGCCGCTACTTCAAGCAGCAAGAGATCACCTTGTACCGCGCCGCGGAGTAGGCGCCGGCGGCGGGCGGCGACGTTCGGAGCACACCAAGCAGGGCAAAGGCCCACAAAAACTTAGTAATCAAGATCCCGGTCGAGTTTCGACACGCGGCTTCGCGTCGTCGAGGATCGCGACGCCGCGGCCCGCTCGGGGAGGCCGCCGCCCTGCCTGGCGTTCTTGAACGCGAAGCCCGCCCGGCGCAAGGGCGACGACGCCGCCGAGGGGGGCATGGAGAACGGCATGAGCTCGAAGGGTGGGCTTAGCCCGGGGTAAGATTTTGAGCGATTTTGCCTCGCCCCGAGTGACGACAGACGAGTGAGGTGGTTGAATAGGGAGCGTCGGCGACGAGCGTGGGAAGAGATCATGGACACGGAACTGATCAAGAAGAAGCGAGAGTACGAGGCGCGAAAAACTCGTACAAAGCTGGCGCTCAACATATGCACGATCTGCGGCGCAAAAGGCGCCAAAGCTTGTCAAGGGTGCGGCACGACGGCCTACTGTTCGACGGACTGCCAACGCATCGACTGGCGCGACCGGGGCCATCGCGCGGCGTGCAAGAAGTTCCAGGCCGCGGCGGCGGCGCGGGCCGAGGCGCCGACGCCCCCGCCGTCGCCGCCGCGGGACGTGTTCTACGGCCCCGCGCCGCGGTCGCACGCCGACGAGGTCCGCGCGCGCATCGCGGCGGAGCACGAAGCGGCGCGGGCGCGGCGCGAGGCGAACCCGGAGCGGGAGCCGCAGTCGGCGCGGTACGGGTCGCGGTGCCCGATCTGCCTCGAGGAGTGGGACGTGAATGTGGGGAACGTGTTTCACGTCTGTTGCTGCCGGCTGGTCTGCAAGTCGTGCAGTGGCAAGATCGGCACCGACGCGTGTCCCCTCTGCCGCTTACCGAAAGCAACGAATGCGGAAAACCTCGCGCGTCTGCGCCGCCATGTGGAGAACGAGGTGCCGGAAGCGATTACGTTTTTGGGAGATGCGTACTGCGAAGGTCACTACGGCCTCGTGAAATCCGATAAGAAAGCCGCGAAGATTTACCGGCGCGCCGTGGAACTCGGAGATGTGTCGGCGATGAGAAACCTTGGGGAATTGCACACTACTGGAAGTGGCGTCAAGCTGGACAAGAAGAAGTCGGAGCGGCTGTTTCGCGCAGCCGCAGACCGGGGGGACGCGATGGCGCAATGCAATTTAGGGGAATCACTCGTTTCTCAGCAGAAATTTGAAGATGGATTGCGGTACTACGCGCTCGCGGCGGATCAGGGCTTTACCTTTGGTGAGTTAAACCTTGGCATTTGCTACAAGTACGGAGAAGACACGGAAGTCGACCTCGGCAAAGCCAGATACTGGCTCGAGCGCGCCGCTGCCAAGGGCGACGAGGCAGCTATAGAGGCCCTCGCGGACCTCGACGCGCAAGTATAGCCTAATTTGTCTTTACGCCGCGTCGTCGCCCGAGCCCGAGATGGTGCGCTTGCGCGCGGGCGAGTCGTGCTTGGCCTTGGCGTCGTCGTCGCCGCGTTCCTCTCCGCGCCGACCTTCGCGGCCTGGTGTGCCTCGCGTTCTTGAACGCGAAGCCTGCCTGGCGCGAGGACGACGACGCCGAGGGGGCATGGAGAACGACATGAAGGCCTACATGAACGCGATGCTCTAGAGGTGGGCTTAGCCCGGGGTAAGATTTTGAGCGATTTTGCTTAGCCGCGGCGCAGGGAAGGACCGAAGGGGGAGAGAACAGCGAAGGGGGGCGTAGGGAAGCGTCACGGGAGGACACGACTAGGGCGGAGGCGTACGCGAGCACGGCGACGAAGAGGGCACGACGACGTAGGGCGGCTACTGCTCGTAGGCGACGCCGATTTTGCTTAGCCGCGGCGCAGGGAAGGACCGAAGGATTTGCCTGTTGCGAGTGACGATAGACGAGTGAGGTGGTTGAATAGGGAGCGTCGGCGACGAGCGTGGGAAGAGATCATGGACCCGGAACTGATCAAGAAGAAGCGAGAGTACGAGGCGCGAAAAACTCGTACAAAGCTGGCGCTCAACTTATGCACGATCTGCGGCGCCGACAAAGCCAAGGCGTGCGAAGGGTGCGGCACGACGGCCTACTGTTCGACGGCCTGCCAACGCATCGACTGGCGCGACCGGGGCCACCGGGAGGCCTGCAAGAAGATCCAGGCCGCGGCGGCGGCGCGGGCCGAGGCGCCGACGCCCCCGCCGTCGCCGCCGCGGGACGTGTTCTACGGCCCCGCGCCGCGGTCGCACGCCGACGAGGTCCGCGCGCGCATCGCGGCGGAGCACGAGGCGGCGCGGGCGCGGCGCGAGGCGAACCCGGAGCGGGAGCCGCTGTCGGCGCGGCACGGGTCGCGGTGCCCGATCTGTCTCGAGGAGTGGGACCGTTGGGACGTGAATGCGAAGAGCGTGTTTCGCGTCTGTTGCTGCCGGAGGGTTTGCAAGTCGTGCAATAAAAAGATCGAAAACGCGTGTCCCCTCTGCCGCTTACCGAAAGCAACGAATGCGGAAAACCTCGCGCGCCTTCGCCGCCATGTGGAGAACGAGTTGCCGGAGGCGATTACGCATTTGGGAGAGGCGTACAGCCGAGGTTGGTTCGGCCGACGGAAAGACGGAATAGGCGGAAGTCTACTTCGGCTCGTGAAATCCGATAAGAAAGCGGAGAAGATTTGGAAGCGCGCCGTGGAGCTCGGGGACGTGGACGCGATGGCAAACCTTGGGAGATTGTACGATCGTGGTGGAACTGGCGTCAAGCTGGACAAGAAGAAGGCGGAGCGGCTGTATCGCGCGGCCGCAGATCAGGGCGACGCGGTCGCGCAATGCGGTTTCGGGGATTTCCTTCATTCTGAGCAGAAACCTGAAGAAGCGTTCCGGTACTACGCGCTCTCGGCGGATCAAGGTTATACACGGAGTCAACTTCCCAATAAGGCGTCCGCTAGCACGTAAAGACGTCCCCGGGGCGTATCCAGCGTCCGTGGAGGGTTCCTAGACGCTTTGGGGAGGTACAATGACGTTTTTGGGCTTCGGGCGGCGCCCCCCGGCGAAATCGTGAATAATAATCTCCTAATTGCCTGAGGAGGTTATGGGCTGCCAGTAGACAGACAGACCGCACGCACGCCGGGCCCAGGGCCCGGCCGACCTGACCGACCTTTTCATCGTTTTCAGCGCCTTCGACTTCCCCATGGGCGACACGGGCGCTGACACCTGGGCGACCAAGGCCGCCTCGGCCGTGGTGGTGGAGGCCAAGGCCATGAGCACGAGCATAGTCAGCTTCGCGGATGCGGCGCCGCGGCCTCCGATCCGCCCCCGCGGGGTGATGACTCCTGCGGAGTTCCAGTCCATGGATGCGGGCCGCACCGCGCCCCTGACACTTTTCTACACGAGCCTGGCGAAGCAGGACGCCGACGGCGTCCCCGTCGACGGCGCGCTCCTCGTCCACGGCAAGTCGACCCATGACATCGACGAGGATTACACGGTCGTCAAGCTGGCCGGAATCGCGGTCGCCGACGCGCCGTTGGCCGTCGCGTCCTACGCTGTCTCCGTGCGGGCGCTCCCGGCCGCTATCCTACGCGCGCCGGGCAGACACAAGTACGAGGCCACGCGCCAGGCCTTCGGCGGCCGGGGCCGCGGCCCGAGTTCCGTCAAGACCGGCCTCGTCGACATGGTCCTCGTCTTCAAGAAGCAGTCCTTCGAGATCTTCCCGCTGGGCGGGCGCCTCATGTACGCCGCCGAGGACTTCGCATTCTACGACGCCACGTATTCTCCAGCGACGGCGAATTCCAAGATGCGGCCGAAGATCATTACCTACGTGGTCGGGACGGACCCCTTTTGGCACGGCGCCGAGGTGTGCCACCAGCTCAACAAGCAGATCTCGAACCAGCTCCGCGGCACGTGCTACGAACGCCACGTCGGCGTGCGGCGCACGCCCGTCAACCTCCGCGGCGGCAAGCGCATGACGCTCTACGTCGTGGTCGGCGACTTCGACTCTTCCGACATGGCGCGGATCCGCGGCAAGCTGCGGCCCGTCTCATACCTCACGGTCAAGTTGCTCTTCTACCACGTCCCCGAGCAGGTCGGCAAGGTCCAGACCCGCGTCGAAGAACGTTTCAAGCAGTCTGACGGCCGCGAGGCGCGCCGCCTCAAGCAGCTCTTTGTGTCTTTTCCGCCGGGCCTCATCGGCCACGCCTCGTCGTCCGAGACGATCAGGTTCCACTACCAGGTCAAGTGCGACGAGCTGTCGTGGTCGCACGAGATCGAGGACGTCATCTACGGCTCCCGGACGGTCCCGCCGGACCACCGTTTCGCGTACCTCCAGTTCTCGACGGTCCAGGCGGTCATGGACCTCCTGGAGCTGTCCGAGCAGGGCCGGCTCGCCGCGATCTTCGGCCGCGACAACCTGGCGGCGTGCATGGACGCGCGGGTCGAGGTGCCGAATGCGGTTCACCGCATGGACAACGAGACCGCGAGCATGCTGTCGCGGGCGTCAAATGCGGGTGCGGACAACCGCGCCGAGCTACGCTCCACGGAGGACCTGCTCCGGGAGTTCGGCCTGGACGAGCCCGACTATGATCGGGCGAGTTCGGCGGGCGGCGACCGGGAGAGCTCGGTAGCCGCGGTGACGGACACCGGCTCGCAGCCCTTCTCCGTGCCGCCCGTGCCGCCGCCGGGCTTCGCCGCGGGCTTCGGCGGGCCCTTGGCCCTGCCGCCGTCCGCAGAGCTCACCGAGGCGAACCTCCGCGCGGCCCGCGCGGAGGAGAAGATTGAGGCCCTGACGTCCGAGGTCGCGGAGCTCCGGCGGCTCGTCGGCTCCCTCGTGGACTCGAAGGGCGGCGGGTCGCCCCGCGGCGCCCCGGAGGCGCCGGGCTCGCAGCAGCCGCCGCCCCCGGGCGGCGACGGCTCCGCTATGGAGGTCTCCCAGCAGCACCTGTCTACGCCCAAGGCGCAGGGCGGGGAGCCCCCGCCCGCGCTCGCTCGGGGTGCGGCGCCGCCGCCACTGCCGGAGCTTGCGGAGATGGGCGGCACGGGACGCGGCGCCGCCGCGGCCGTCGCGCGCCTGCCCGACGAGGCCGCCTGGTACTCCGGCAATGCGGTGCGGGGCGAGGTTCTGCCGCTCGTCCTGCGGGACAGGCCGTTGTCCGCTTCGGGCGTGCTCGCGTCGCAGCATTTCGCCA